GAGCTGGCCTGGGGGTGGGGCGTGGCGAACGACCGCCCCGCGCCCGAGGTCTCTCCTGAGGTCAGTCTCCCCTCCCTCTGGTGTCCTTCGGGGTCCGAGCTCCTGGGAGCCAAAGAGGGGGAGGGGAAGGAGAGGGTGACTTGACCCTCCCGCTCCACACCAAACTCACTCCAGCCGGCTCGCCTCGCTTCCCGAGCAAGGGCTCGGAGGAGAGCCAGCAGGGGCCACGGCTTCCTCGCCCTGGCAGGGCCTTCCCAGTCCCCACCCTCCCTGCCCCCCATTCTGATGTTCTGCCAGCCTAGGGTGCAGCCCATGACCTCCTCGACGCCCCTGGGCAGGGCGGCACGGCCAGCGCCACTCTTGCCTGTGACCTTGGGAAGCCCTCCTCCCCCCACTCCTGGGTCTCCAGCGTGAAGCCAGTGGTTGTCTGCGCCAGGGCCTTTGACCTTGGAAAGGATGGCGTAAGCCTAGTCCCGAGGGCCTCCCCGAGGGGAGGGACCAAGGTTCCGCCTGTAACAAAGGAACCCACTGTCTGACCCGGTACCCCTCCGACCGGACCGCCAGGCCGGTTCCCCATCACTTGCTGTAGCACGGGATTTCCAGGGGTGACACTGGGCCACCTCTGCCTCTCACTGCTGAGAACACTTGGGCAGAAGGGCCTGTCCGAGGCAGTGCAAGAGCAGAGGCCCACCAACCCCCCACGCAAGTCTGGGGCTGTGGCAGGCACGTCCCATCCTTCCGGGCTGAAGAGAGAGCCTGGTGGAGGGGGTGCGTGGCCAGTTCCAGGGGTTCTAGCAGATGAGCAGGCTCTTGGAGGGTCTGTGGGTCCCCTGACACATGAGAGTGGGCAGGCAAGTGGGTCTTTGGGGCTTGGGAGGAGGGGCTCAGGGCTGGAGAGGGCCTGTGGCCACATGTGGAGAGAGCAAGGTCACCCGGGAGCATGTGGGCTCACCATTTGCAACCAATGGGGAAGGCAGGTCCCTAAGCAGGAGGACCTGGTCTTGTGCTGGGTGCCTCTGTGGCAGCCCTGACCCTCTCTGGCCTCAGTTTCCTCAGCTGCACCTGTAGCCGAGGGAAGGCCGTGCTGCCTGGGCTCAAGCAGGAAGGGAAGGGCCCGTCAGCTTCCTCCCCAGAGTCCAGGCTTCCTGTCCGACCACATCCAAGGGAATTGGAGACTGGGGGTCAGTCTTCCCTCACTTCCCACTCACTGGGTGACCTCATGGGCAGTGCCAACTTCAGTTTTATTATCTGCCAGATTGAGCAAGACCTGCCCAGCCTCTCCCTCAGCTCATCCTGAGCTTGGGGCCGGGTGATGTGTAGTGCCCCGGAGAGCGCCCTCTACTGGTCCACCTACCCTCGGCACCTACAACCCAGCCAAGGGCCCTGTCCAATCCCGCCCACTCCTACACCCCTGCACACATATACGACGCCACAGTAATGTGGAGGCGTGTACACTCGCTGGTGCCACACAGACTCATCCACTACAGAACTCACTGGCAGGGCTCCCTGTTGCACAAGTCAGGTGGCAGCCCTGCACATGGGCATATGTGTACACGTTCACACGGACGCAGACGTATACACTATGGAGTGTGCACACCGAGACCCACACCCAGGCACATACAGAGGCAAGTGCGAAGTGCACGTGCCCTCTTGTGTACGCAGATGCCGTGGGACAGAGCGCAGGCTTACGCACACATAGGTGTCACCCAGCCCAGCACAGCCCCAGAGCTATTCTGGGCCTGGGGCCAACATGGTCAGAGACTGCCAGCTCCCAGCAGGCCCCAGCCGCTTGTCCCAGGCCCAGGCTGCTCAGCCCAGGCTACGTTCAAGATGCCCCAGATCCAGGCTGATTCCGACTTGGGGGATCCCTGCTTCCTACCTCCTGTTCCCCCAGAGCTAAATCTCGAGCCCTGGGGTTTCAGGCTCCAGGAGAGAACCCCCACAGTGTTCCCTGGCCATTCTGAATGGACTCTGCTCATGGCTTCCAACCCAGAGGCCCTGGAAGCTGGACTGGGTTCCTCCAGGAAACCCACAGGAGCTAAAAATAGTACACAAGGGACAAATAGGGCTCTGCAGGCCAGCATTCACGCCACACACACCACCGCATGGAGAGGAAGCTGCCTTCCAGGGAGGCTGGGCGGGGGAGCCTGGGGCCCAAGCTCCACCTCCGCCCCCAGATCTGATGGGCCCAACTCGGGGCAGGGGGTATGGGGAATGGAAATCTCATAGGAAGTAGAAGCCGTACTGGACAGTGGGCAGAAGCCTGAATTTGAGGCTCCAGTTCCTGAGTGTCCTTAGGCCGGGCACAACCCCTCTCTGGGCCTCGATTTTTCATGAGTAAACAGGGGAGAGGAATAAAAAGATGGATAAGGCATTAGCTTTCAGGATGTGCCTCTCACCATGGTGTTTACTATAGGAAATAATGCAAATATTCGTCAATAGGGTGTTGATTGAACAGGTATCGTTGGGTTTCTATGCAGTGCCTTGAGCAACGACAGCAATATCAGAATGACTAGCATTTACTGTGACGTGCAGGTCCCACGATATTGCCCTCATACCCGTTTTACAGATGACGGGCTGAAGCTCAGAGGTTAAGGAGCCCACTCAGGGCTCACAGCTCTCGATATCATTGCACCCAGAAGTCTTAGTTCTAAGCATTAAAGCATTAAAAACCGTAGAGATTATAAAGCATAAAGATACAAATTTACAAGAAACATTTCAAAGTTCAATTACTTAAATTTTTTCTATGTTAGTCTAGTTTAGTAAATTATGGAGAATAACTTTATTTCAGTCCAACTTTTGCCATCTTCAGAGGGCCAGAAAAGTCCTTTACATAATTAAACTTTCAAATGGTGTCTCTTGTAGCTTGTAGCTTTATACTTCTGAGGTTATTAAAGCTTAAAACCGCACTGACAGTTTCAGGATACCCGTTATTTTACGTCAGTTTGACGTCAAAGCCTGTGTGACGGTTTCGATGGTGGATTGGGGTGGAGGGGGAGATCTGTGATGCTGTGCTGGGCAGAAAGCCTGGGGAAAGGTATATGATCAACAGCACATGTGGCTCAGGAGCAGAAGGGGAGCCCCCCGAGAGCAGAGGCCGTCCCAGGGGACCGTGGGACACACATGATGGTGCTCCCTCTCAGATTTCTTCATCAGGGTTGCCCTGCTTCTTGGATGGAAAGATGATGAACTTTATAGGAAAAAGTGACACCCCTCCCTCCTGGGCTGAGCTGTCCTATCAAGTAGTCAGCACCCCATAACAGTTCATGCATGTAATCCTCCATCAGTCCTGTGAGGACCGTCTGGCCCTCTCCATCCCATAGATGAGGAAATCGAAGCGCAGAGGCCACTGTTAGGTTCACTAACCCCAGCCCAGCCAAGTCCTCTCTGACCCTGTATCCCAAGGGTGACCCCATGCTCCTGACTGGTCAGTGTGTCTTTCCCTGGCCTGGCCCACGACAGATGGCATGAGGGAGTGGAGAGCAGACAGAGAGCCCTGAATGCCTGGCCAGAGCAAGCCTGGGGAAGATGGGGTGGCCCAGCCCCCAGACTTGGCCACCCACTGGTGAGAGCCTCCTCAGGAGGCCCCTGGGCCAGCCGTGCCCTGCCCACGGCTTTCCTGGTTTCCTATGGTTGTGCCATCTCCCAGGCCTGACTCCTGTGGGTGTCTGAGGCTGGCCCTCCACCCTCAGCTGCAGCCTGCCCTGGTCCTTGCTCATTATGGCACCTCCCGGCAGAGCCCCCAAGGCTCTGGGTCTATAGGGTCCCCAGTTCTGAGGGCGGGCCCAGGGCCCACAGCACCCCTGCCTGGCAGGTCTCCCCTGGTGTTCCTGGTGATGAGGGACACACTCAGAGGCAGGAGATGCATGATAATGGAACAAAGGGAGGGAGGAGGGAGGAGGGAGGAGGGAGGAGGGAGGAAGGAGGAAGAATATGTGAAAAAGGAAGGGGAGGGAGGAGGGAGGAAGGAGGAGGGAGGAGGGAGGAAGGACATAAACCAGAAGGCTCCCGGGGACCCAGGCTGCCCCCTCCTTTTCCGCAGTCCTCCCCAGGTCTCCACACCCCCACAACCTCCCTCCCTCTCTCTTTCCCTCCAGCCCTGGGTTGTCAGGGCTCACCCTGGGGTCAGGACCAGAGTGAGATGGGCTGGGTTCAGTGTGAGGTCAGGGCCAGGGCTCAGGTGTGACAGAGGCTGAGGGTCAGCCCTTCCAGGGGAGCCTACCCCGTCCTGCGGCCGCAGATGCTGGCTCCTTCAGGAACCTTCGATGGCACCCGCAGCGGCAGCTCCCGCCATTCTGTCCCCGCTCCCCACCCCCACCCCCGCCCTGGTGTCCAGGGTGACCAGAGCCTCCGGCAGGAAGCCAGCCCAGGGCATCCCTGAGCGCCTGTCGCCATGGCAACCTGCCTGTTGGGCGCACCCACCTGGGTCCAGAACCGGGAAGGGCCTCCCAGATCCGCAGGTTCCGCCCCCTCCTTAGCCCAGATGGGGAAACCGAGGCCCAGTGGGGAGGGAGGGGGGACTTGTTGCTCAAGGACCTGATCCCGCGTGGGTCCAGGTGGGGGTGGGGGGAGGGGCGTCTGGAGCCTGGTCCTCGGAGGGGCGGGCCCTTCACGCA